GGGGGGGGGGCCCGGGGGGGAGGCCCCCCGGAGGGGCCCAGTCCAGGTCGTTGGGGTCTTCGGTGACATCGGCAGACCAGTTTTCGTCGACTTCGGGCGCGTCGCGGTACGTGCCGTACTGAGCGAGCGTCACGGGCGCAGTGCCGGTGGAGTAGAGGTTGCGTCCCCACTCGTCGGCGAAGTATGCATCAAAGAGGTCCGCTAGAACGAGACACATTAATTTAAGTGAGTTTAGGAGCCTGCTGAGATTCGAACGGGTGAAGTGATCGTCGTCCGCACTCGGTTCGGGTAGCGAGCTCTGGACGAAGCGGCACCAGTCCTGAGAGACGAGCCACCAGCTGAGCCAGCGTGTGACGCCTTCGAGTTGCGGCAGGAAGCGACAAAGGCGCTGCATTTTCATGAGTATGTTGCAGCGCACGAAGTGCAGGTTACGGAACACCCATTCGCGCACGAGTGGGTCGCGTCCATGTTGGTCGACGTAGATCCAGCTCGTGAGGAGACGGTGCAGTCGGTATCGGACATCTAGAGGTGAATGCGAGATGTCATTTTCACCCTGTGACGGCAAGAGAAGTGTATTGAGCACGGCGTTTTCGCGCGCGGTCAAACCCATTCGGATGCGCCACTGACGGAGCACCTTCTTCATGTTGCCGAGATTGTGCAGCAGTACCTGGACGGCTTTGTTCTGGCGTGGGTCGGCCCCACGTCCTTGCAGGTCGCCGCCGCGGCGACCCTGTAGATCGCCACTGCGACCGGCATCGGCATCTGCTGCGTCTAGAAGATCGGGTGCAAGGGCGGCCACATCGCGTAATGGGAGAGTTGTGAGTTCCCGGGCCTGCAGGATGCGTTGGTCGACTTGAAGCGCTAGCACGAAGGTTTCGTAGCTAAAGAGCGTCCACTGTGCACTCGACAGGTATGTGCTGCCCCACTCGAGTGCACGCGGAACTGCCACTGAATTGAAGACCGTGAAGAGCGTATTCCGCGGTAACTTGTGCACATAAGCCTGGAAACCGTACTCGTAGTCCAACGGCTTCACGTAGTACGGATCGTCCCACTGTCCCAGTCGGGCCAAGTCATCCACGCACAGATTGCGCAAACTCCACAAATATTCTTCAACACGCCGCTGCACTTCCAACACCTTGTCCGGGAAGCGGGTACCCGGCGGCCAGTTAATACGCAGCCGCTCTCCCAAAGACGGAATGTAGTCCCGCAAACGGAACTCCTCCTCGTCCTCATCTGGATCTTCTTGCGGATTGTCCCAACTTGCAGAACTCACACTCACCTCCTCGTCGCTCGCCGATGCCACTGCTTGCCGACCCGTAATCGCCGTGGCCATCCGCTTCAACAAACCGCCACCGCCGCCGCGACCACCGCGCCGTTCCTCCTCAGATAAGGAAGAAGACGCACGCTCCAAACCCGACAACTCAGAACCCGACGCGTTTGAACCGGACGGGTTCGAATCCGAACGCTGCTCCCAACTCCCGGGCCCCCCGCGGTCTCGCTCTCGCTCCCTCTCCTCTCGCTCCCTCTCCTCACGCTCCCTCCCCTTCTCTCGCTCTCTCTCCCGAGCCCGTTCTCTCTCCCCATCTCGCTCTCTTTCGCGATCTCGCTGCCGGTCCCGGTCTCGATCTTGGTCACGTAGTTGAAGCTGAAGTTTGGGGAACGCAGCATTAGCTCCGCCGTCAGCTGTCTCGGCGTCGCGAGTGGCCTGGACGTCACCGTCGCGGCCGCTTGCCCATTCCCGTTTGCGAAAATCCTGTTCCTTCTTTTTGAGTTCCCTGATTTCGAGTTCCTTTTGTTTCAGGCCGTCTTTGAGTGCGAGCACTTGCGCGCGTAGCTCGTCGGCGCCGGAACCGCTCTGCTGCTGGCGCAGCCACAACAGGTCGCTTTCGGCGAGTGCAAATTTGCGGTCGTCGGTGACCGTCATGGGTGTGTTGGCGCCCGTTACGCGATTCAGCCAGAGTGCGAGGTCGTATTGGGGCGAGTATGCGTCGCACGAGTCGCACAGTGTGGCCAACAGCGGCCCCGCCGAACTCACGAAAGTGAAGTAGAGTCGCGCGCCGAGGCGTACGCAGTCGAGCGTGCGCTGCACACGCGCCACCTCCGCGCGTTCCAAAACCTTGACCTTCTCGGGCGTCAGCTCCGGTCCCCCGCCGCCGCCGGGGTCGTCCTCGGGCTGCTCCTCCCCGGTCAGTTCGGCTTCAAGTTCCTGCAGGTTGCGCTCAGCCTTTTTGCGCATGCTGACTGCGCGCCGGATCCGCTCCTCGATTTTCTGCAACAAGTCCGTCTGCAGGTTGTCGCCGAAACGCTCCATCAGATCCTCACGGCTCTCCTTCGCCGTCTTCTCTTCCTCAACCGCAATGTTCAACTTGGCTACGACTTTGCGCCGCCGGCGCACCAAGTCACTTGGCGCCAACTCGCTCCCCACACTCGCCGTCGCGCGCGGCTTCCGCACCTCGCTCGATCCCGTCAGCTCGCCCTTCACCTTCGCGTACTGCGTGTTCATCTCCGCCAGCGGTTCGCTGATCTTCGCCGCAAACGCGCTGCCCATCTGCTCGTGCAACCGACACAACGAAGTCGTGAACGTCGTCGCCTCGCTCCATAACGTCAGCATCGGCTCGAAACTCCGGTCTTGACTCACCTGCTCGTACACCGCACGCGACTTGGACAACGCTTCCCGCAACTGACTCGCACACGCCTGCTGCGCCCGACCTATTTCCTAGCACGCAGTCGTCTGTGAGTCGCACGTGTGTGCATTGCACGTGTGTGCGTCGCATGAGTGTGGATCGCACGAGTGTGCGTCGCACGAGTGTGCGCGCGTGTTCGGACTACAAACCGTGCGTGGACGTACTGCGTAAAAGGTGGCGAGTGCTTCGGTCGCCAGGTAGCCGTTACTCAGTCGTCTATCTATCTCTAAGGGGCTCTCGGGACATTTTAACAGCTCGTCGAAGGCGCTAGACATCGGTGCGCATATATCAGTCAAAAAGCGAAAACGGGCCGTTCAGGGGCTTATCATTGATTCGTTGGGAGCCCTTGCGGACGGTCGAGGGTTGCGAGGATGACTACACTTGTGCATAACTACGTGACGCTTAGGAAGCTCAGCCCAGGAAGCTCAGTCGCTGGTAGCGGTCGGCTCACTGGCTCCTTCCCGGTTATTGGTTGAAGAGGAGGGCTAGACTTTTAAACGTGTTTCGGGCGGTGTAGTCTTTGAGTACGCCGGTCGTGTTCAGTTGTTTGGCGAGGATAGGGTAGGTGCTGGTAGTGGGGGCTAGTTGCTCTTGCAGCGACGCGACAGGCTTCCCCGTTTGGGTTGCCTCTTCCTCGTCCTCCTCGTCCTCGTCGTCCTCCTCATCTTCGTCCGAGTCGTCCTCGTCCAGGGCGGCTTTCAGGTCGTCCTGCTGGGTAATGAGGCTGCCGCCCCCGGCGGCGTATTTGCTGCAGGCTTCGTCGGGGTCAAGGTAGCTGAGGAGTGGCTGCTGCAGGATCGCGGGCGTGGCACGCTGTGCACTCTTTTCGACCGCGTAGGCGTTCTGTACTGGGTTGTACGCCACCAGCCGCTCCGTCGTGGTCGCCTGGACCCCAACCTGCTCCTGTGTCCGGGCCAAGACCTTCCACTGCCATGGGGAGATCAAGGTACATGGTGGCACAAAACCCGCGGCCCAACTTAGTGAGAACAACAGATGGTGCCGCATGCGTCCAGATCTGGACCGGGATCGGGACCGGGGTCGGCACCGGAAACTGCACCGGGCGCCCCCATGCTACACGCCCCCCTTTCCTATCGTGCTCGGATACCCACCGTACTCACTTTACTCGAAAACCTACCTTGCTTAGGCCACGGTCCCCTGTTGGCGTTTCAGAAACAAAGTGCGTGGGTGTATGCGGGGTAGCATGGAGCTTTGTTGCGGTGAAAAAGTTACTTCTTCTTTTTGTCCATCTTTCTCTTGTAGAATTCGAGTTCCTTGCCCTCGAGGATGTAGCCATCAGCAGAGCCGACTTGGCCTGGTCTGGAGGAGACACACGCGAGGAGTCTGCCGGAGTTGAATTGTTCTTCGGTGAGTGGTTCAAGGAACCGGGTTTTGGAGAGAGTCTCGTGTTTAGCCTTTTCCTCGGGTGAGAATTCGGCGGCTTCCTGTCCAGGGATGACCTTGCCGAGTTCGACGCCGTAGCGCTGACGGTAGAAGGTCTTGAAGGGGGTAGCATCGATGGACACGATGGTGTTCTTGGTCACTGTGTTGGTGCGCACGAACTCGTTGGAAGACGGGTGATAGACAGCGCTGTAGATTTTGGCCTTGAAGGCAACAGCCTCAGAACCCCACGAGAAGTTGCCAGCTTCAACACGCAACGCACGGTGCTTCACATTGGCGCCACGCGTCCGAATGATAGACTTCCGACTACCACCCAACTTGGTCATCGCTGCCGGACGACCCAATTCATACTTCCGCTTCTTCTGGTGGATAGCACGCTTGCCACCAGTAGCCCGTCTTTTGTGACGCGAGTCCCGACAGATACCCATACTACTCCACACAAAATAGCCCCCAAAAAAACCCTACACAGTTATGTCTCCTACCTTCCAAGAGCGCAAATCCGCCTTCCTCAAGCAGTACCGCGACCCTCAGGAACTCGCCACGCGTGTCGCTCACTTCCTCAAGACCTGGGAACCCCTGCCAAGTTCGCTCCAGCCCCAGGACCCTGATTCAGTCTGGCGAAAAACCGACTCCAGAACGTAAGCTCTCCCGGACCTTCCCTTCGCCCCTGGGCCTTCCCTTCACCCCTGGGCCTTCCCTTCGCCCCTGAGCCGTCCCGTCACCCCTGGGCCGTCTCTTCACCCTCTAGCCCTGCCCTCTTCCCAATGACCTCTCTGGCCTTCCACTCCGCAGCCCAGGTGTCTCCTCTAACGGTTATGGCCACCCTTTCCTGGCTCAGCTCTGCCTCCGCTGACTCAACCCTCACACAAATACCCCCCCTCTATAGCGAAAGGAAACGACGTAGCAAGGTCGCCGTGGACAAGAACAACAGGCCCCTGCGGGGATTTTTAAAGCACAGAACTGAGTAACAACATCCTGGCAGGGCAGAACCGCGGCGCATGTGCCAGAGCACACCAGCTCAACGTGCCAGCTTCGGCTGCAGCCGGCGTGGGGTAGCAGGGGAGGGCGTGGGTTCGGGCCGGGGGTTGTGTGCTCGCGAGTTTTACAATTATTTTAATTCGATGCGGCTGTAAGTGACTGTGGTGGAGTGATGTGATCTTTCCTTAGCTGATGGCGACTGAGAGCAAAGTTGGTCGTTTTCTCAGCAATTTGAGGAATACCTTGAAAGATCACAAAGGTACACCCAGTAAAGCACACGATCACGTGAGTACAAAACGGTGCATCGCACAAATCCCTGCGTCGCACAAATCGGTGCGTCGCACACACGTGGCACAAACGACGCGCTCAATGCTCAGTACAAAATGGGACAGGCAAGGATCGGTACCACTCGCCGCGCCAGAGCGCCGCCGCCACGCCCAAGACTGCGGCTAGCCCCTCGGAACTCGACAGCCTCGGCGACCCCACCGCCTCGCCCGCCACGCCCGTCCGCTTCAACTGGCGGGTCGCACGCGCCTTCGTCCAGCTCCGCACCCAGCCGGCCGAGTCCTTCGTGCTCTCCGGACTCCCCTTTCCCCACTGGCCGAGGAACAAAATTCCCACCCTGGGAGCTTCGCCGGCCAGCTGCCGAGTGCAAGAAATGTACAGCGTTAGCTTACCCGACGGCACGAAGCTGTTCGTCAAAATCGTACCTATCAAAATGTGGAACTATCAAGTAAACGACTCACCGTGACAGGACCACCCAGGACCATTCACCGTGACAGGACCCACCGCCAGGACCGCCCCGCGGACCGGAATCTATCCTGTTTTTGCAGTGGACTCAAGAGGATCAGTGGGAAGGCGAATTCACCACGGACGGCGAGAATTTTGTCATGGAGGCAGCCGCTTTGGCATTCTTGCACGGTAAGGACTTTCCGTTGTAAGTACGTTTTTGTTTTTCAGAGTATGCGCCAGGAATTGCTCCGAAGCTGGTGGCGATTCTTGAGCTATCCGGCGCCATTTCCCCAGGCTCCTCAAAGCGGTCTGCAGCATCGACGCGGCCAGGCAACATACGACGGTCGGATGACACGGTGACACACATCGCCATTGTTTCTGAGCTGTATGGAGAGGACCTACTGGACTACTTGGACCGACGAGATAGGCGCAACAAACCTGTAAACTAGACACACGGTTATCACGTGAATGTGCCTTGCGTGAGTCTCACGTGAGTCGCACGCGGTGTGACTTTCGCGTGCGCGAGTCTCTCGACTCCGTTGTGCGGACTGTGTGTGGCACTTGTGAGTCTCACGGACTGCCTCTTTAGTTGAGTGAGGACGAGAAGCACGCGTTGCAGATCGGTTGCGTGAAGTTGTTGCGGCGGTTGCACGATGTTGGGTTGGCGCACCTGGACTTTACGCCGGAGAACATTCTGGTGGGGCACGGGGGGTTGCGTTTGTGCGATTTTGCCAAGTCGACCCCGTTGATGTCCTCGAAGTTGCGGCACGTGCCGGTGGAGATAATGGGTGGGTCTGGGGCGGGTGTGTTGGAGAGCACGATATTGTACGAGTTCGAGTCGTGCGAGCCGACGGTGGGGAAGGGTGCGTACATGCCTCCGGAGTGTTGGTCGATTTACTGGCGGTTGGAGACGCAGCGGATTTTACGGCCGTTGGAGGACTTGAAGAGCTTGCGGAGTTCGGCGGAGCGCGTATCTTATTACTTCAAGGCGTCGTGTGCGGACGTGTACATGGCGGGGGTGGTATTGTTCTGGATCTGGAGCGACGGCGGGATCTGGAAGTGTTCAGACGCGAAGCAGGACGACAAGTACTACCACTTGCTGAAGGGGGACATGAACTTCGACCTGTTTCGGGAGTGTCGTGCGTGGCCGGCAGCACTCAAAAGCTGTCTGCAAAAGACCCTCACACACGAACCTTGGCGAAGACACACACTTCCTGAACTGCTAGCTTGCTCCTGGATCGCCGACTTCGCCGACCCCCACGCCTACCTAGAAGTCTACTCACCCCGGAATCCCCAACGCGAAGATCCTCCCCAACGGAACAGCCGCCGCCCCTTTTAGCACGTGCACCCGCACCACATGGAGCTGACACAGGACCCCACGGAACAAACCGCGGCCACAACCGAATTTTCGGCAGCCGCAGACCCGGCAGCCTCCCCGCCGGCAGCCTCCC